CAGTCTTCAGAATATTAAAAACAAAAACAGAAGATCACAGACACCAGATTGAGAAACACTGCTCTAGTCCTTTTGCTTCATACTAAATTGAATTAAAGAGAAGAGTATAGTGCTTGGCATACCCTGAACCCTCTTTCTGTGACATCTTACATGGGGTGTTTGGCCACAGATGGAGTTGGTGTAGGGACGGGAATTCCTTGGTAGCTGACATTCGAGGCAGGATAGCCCATGATAAGCAGCCCCTCCTAAATCATTGTAGAAGATAGAAGAAACAAATGGTCTTTCCGAATTAGATTGTTTTAAATTATATATTTCATCTGTATTGTGTCCTTAATAAAGGGCCTCGATAAATTGCCATAGCTTAATTTTGAAAAATTTTTAATTTGTTTGACAATATTATTCAACAAGCAAATTGACATTTTGAACCAATTGTACTGAAACTTCTTTCCTTTCAATAAACATGTTCTGTTGATTATTCCCCCAGATTAAAACATGTTGAATAATTTTTAAAAGTGAACAGTGATTTTATTGGTACAGAGAATGCCTGATGAGGACACTACTTGTACATCAGTAGCTGCACTGTAATTTATAGTCTTGGAGATTGTTTGTGATCCCAAGAAGTTAAATGACTTGCCCAAGGTCACATAGTTAATACTGCACATGTCAGTAGCAGTATTTGAACCCACATCATCCTAAAGCCAAGGTTGACTCTACTTCCATTCTGACCATACTGCCTCCCATGTTAGTTCAGAAAGAGCATAGGGCATGAATCAGGAGGCCTGAGTTGTGGTTCCCATTCCACACTGCCATCTGTATGACTAGAATTGTCACACTGGAACAGGAAAGTCATTTCTCTGTGTCTGTTTTCCCATCCATCAAATGGGGGAAATATTTTTTTCCTATCTTAAAGACAAGTAAGGTGATATGTAACTAGTATTTATGTAGGGCATTAAGGGTAGTGAAACACTTTATATTTATAATCTCATTTGATCCTCAAAACAACTCTGAAAGGTAGGTGTTATTATTATCTCTACTTTACAGGTGATGAAACTGAGGCTTAGAGAGGTCAAATGACTTGCCCATGGTCACACAGCTAGTATCTGAGGCAGAATTTGAGCTCACATCTTGAATCCAAGTCTAGAACTCTATCTACTTTACCCTCAGCTGTGTGTTTATTTGTAGATAGATGCAGGAGTCTGCTGGTATGTGTTTAACAATTGGGATCCTTTAAAAAACATATGTTGTATACTACTTTCAAACTTAATCTGCATTATTAACACTTTCTTAACTCTAGACAACCAACAAAACAATAGATTGAGCTGTGATTTGTAGTGATTGATGACTTCTGGAGTGTAAATGCTCACAAAGAAAATTTAACAATTGCCTTTCTCAAGCCAGTTAAATCTGGCACTAGCATAACTCTGGATATATGTGTATACATATACATACATGTGTGATGATGCTTTAAGTTCTTTGGAAGACAGGCAACCCACTAATATAATAATAATAGTAGTAGTATAATAAATGACATTTACATACTATGACAGCACTATAATAACAATTATTTTTATAATAGCCCTATGAAGTAGATTGTTATTTTCCTGTTTTATAAATGAAGGAATTGAGGCTCAGAGAAATAAAATGTAAGGCATTATATTGTTTTTGTAATATTACAAATGTTTATTCATTTTAATCAAATAAGTATGTATTTATAATTATCAATTAAATTAAGATGATTAATTTAATTAATATTTATCATTTTTTGAGGGAAATATAGCCTAAATGTGTTTTTAAATTATGAAGATGAAACCCATCGCTATTTTGCAGTAGAACATACAGGGCTAGGCACCACAGAAGCAAATTGAATGCCAAGGCTATACAATACTATTCCTCTTCACAGAATACTTGGAAAAAGCAGGGCAGTTATCTGCATCGTATTCATTAGAGGACTTATAAATGAGAGCTCTCACTGGATTCCTAAATAAAAGAAAACCGCTGAACAAAAACATGATCTTGTCTCAGAGGAGGGAGGACTTCTTGAGCAATGGCATCTGAACTCATCTGTACGTTGACCAATTGAGCTGTGCCAAATTCTAGAAATTGCATCAAACCAGTACAAAGTATATACTCTGGGTGTTAGCTGAGAGGCTTCTTCTATGTACTTAACTGTTTAATGTTTTTCAGAATCCCAGTGCTTAAAGAGGGCATGCTAAAGCAAGGGGACTTGGTTTGCTTGCAGTCCAGAACCTCAAACCCATATACAGACTTGGCATAACTTTATTTATTTGCAGCATCCTGAGGAGACAGCATTACCAAATATTCTATACAAATACAATTGTATGCAAAAGGGTGGGAGAGGAAGGGGAGGTTTCCAAGGGAACTTCAATGAGAGGGAAGTGATTCAGTGGCTGAGATGTTATGGGGAGATCTAATAGGGCAGTACAGCTTTGAGCAGAGAAAAGTCATAGCGAGGGGTGTTGAGGATACCGTAGTGAAGCAGAATGAAGAAATTCAGGAATGAGTAGTTAAAGATGGATTCTCATAGGGATAAGGTGAAACAACCATCTGGGTAGCACAGTGGTTCTGAATGAACTCTAGAGAAGAATAAACAGTAGAATAAAGTAGAATAAAGAAAGTGCAAGTACTCTGAAGCGAAAACCAGAAAAATGTATCTTTGATAGAGGAGGTATGGGGAGATCGTGCTGACCAAGGTGATTTCAAGACAAGTGACTATAAGGCCCAACTGCATCCTTAAATTGGCTGAGTCATGGGAATTGTCCCTTTTGCACCGAGTCTTTTACCTGCCTTTCCATCCGTTGGTGAATGTTTATCAGGCTTCTTCTATAATGCTTTTTATTTTATTAGTCCACAATTGCCTAATACTCTATAGGTATCATTTTCCCATGCACATAGTTTGGACATACTTTTTAGTGTTGTGGTTCAGTAAGTGGTGTGGCAAGTTCTGAGCAGCTGTTGGGTTCTTCTCCCACCTTTTTTGCTCACTGACTAGACAAGCCCCTTAGACTTTTATCAGGTCTCTTACTGAAGGATTTTAAGGGGTCTAACTTGTTACCTTGTACTTGGGTCTGCCCCTTGCTTTGCTTCACCCTGTTGATTATTGCCACTTATTAAAGGACTTGAAAGATTCCTTTGCAGGTTCTTAACTTTAGCTCTCACAGAAAGACCTCAGTTCAATCCTCAACTGATAATATAAAAATTAACAACAAAACTATGTCATATGTGTGATGGAATTGTTGACTTTTTCCTCCCCAGGCATATTAGGGAATTAATCTTCACTTTTAAGCAACAAGGATAAATCAAACTTAAAAGGCTCTAGGGAACTCTAGGGAAAAGTGATAGCCATGTGCTGATGTCCTTGGGTGAACTCTTCAACAATATTGTTTTTCATGGGCTGTCACTAATAAGAAAAACTACTCTCATGTTAGGTCTGGAAAGTAATTTTTCCTTTAGTTGGTCTTCTTTGCCCTGTTATTTGATCTTTTGCACATGAAACCGAAACAAAGCTCCTTCTTCTGCCCCCTCCCCCCAAGTATTTGAGGATGAGGGAGATATAAAAAGAAAACAATTTTATATAAAATATTTTTAATACATCATAGTCATAATTCATTTAAATTCTACATTAAAGGTCCTGTGCCTTTTAGGCTGCTCAGCCTTACTCATTTATACTATGTTGAGGTTTCAAGATCCTGAAAGTTATGAATGTTAGTCTGCTAAATTTTATTCTGGTGGTGCTGGAGAGAAATACAAGTTGTGTGGAGAGGGGGAGGGTTGGAGCAGGTGAATAATTTGAAATTTCTCCCAATCCAAATCCCCAAGAAAATACTGCCATAAAGGATTGATTTGGTGCTGAGATTTAGCTGTGGTTGCCGTAAAGACTGAAAGAAAGGGAACAACAGGGCAGGCCTGTTTCTTACCACTAGTGACAACACCAACGATTTATTGTGGGAAATAGGCAGTTCTTTTTTTTTTTTTTAACAAAGCTTGTTAGCTGAATGTCTGAACTTTGATATTTTTTCCCTCGTGAAAGGTTTCACATAGACCCCCAGAAAAGTCACTTCTGAAAAATTGCGGTTATAGGCAGTTCTCCATGTTCTATATTCAAAGGGGAGAGAAATGTAATAGAAAATCAATTTAAGCCTCCTCTCTCTACCAAAACTTTTAAAAATTCAATTTAATTCAATTCAGCAACCATAGATTAAGTACCTAATGTATGAAAGTTATTGGGGTCGGTGTTGTGAATATGAAGGAAAATAAAAGTCTTTGCTGTTAAGTATTTTATATTCTTCTTGGATTTTTGAAACCTAAACTACTAAAAAAAAAAAGCAAACTATACTAATTCATAGGACAGTAATGACAATAATGCCTAATATTTATGTGGCAATTTAAGGTTTGCAATGTGTTTTATGTATACTCTCTGATAATCTGTGAAGTAGATAGTTATCATCCCCATTTTCCAGAGGAGGAAACTTGGGCTCCTTCATTCATTCAGTAAACATTTATTAAGTGCTTACTATGTGCTAGGCACTGGGCTAAGTGCTGAGGATATACAAAGAGGCAAAAAGACAGTCCCTGCCCTCAAGGAGCTTACAGCCAAAAGGCTCATTGTGGCTTGCTGGAGGTAAAACAGCCTTGTAGGTATATGAGGCAGGATTCAAACTCAGTCCTTCCTGACTGTAAGGGCACCACTCCTCCTACTGTATCACCTAGCTGCCTCAATATGATTCAGAACATGAAGGGATCTTTCCCCTCTTCTCTTTTCCTGCAATCTGCCTGATCTCTCTTAAGAGCATAAGTGAACAGTGAAAGGAGTCATCAGAGATATGAGGGAGAGAAGGAGATGTGCTAGATAGCTAACTGTGATAAGCTTCACAATTAGGACGTGGCAAAAATCAGGTGAAATGGTAAAACTTGAATCAGATTCCCATGTGGTGTTTAGTGAAGTAACAATGGCTGTCACTCTCTCTTGTTCAATCTTATAGTGGAGTATGACAAGGAGTTCTCCCCTCGCCAACGCCATCACAAGGAATTCAAGTTCAACTTATCCCAGATTCCTGAGGGAGAGGCTGTGACGGCTGCTGAGTTTCGAATCTACAAGGATTGTGTCATGGGGACCTTTAAAAACCAAACTTTTCTTATCAGCATTTATCAAGTCTTACAGGAGCACCAACACAGGTATGAAGGTCCAGGGAGTCCCACAGGATGGGGCTTGCCCCCATTCCCATCCTCTCACTCTATAGCTCTGAGTGTGTTTGTTGGAAGTGTAATTTTGTGCTCAGGAGCAAAACATGAAGTTGTGCTATTTATCCAGACTGGCAGGGGAAAGGCAACTTGCTGGCAATTGGGTTTGTTGTAGCTGAGTGGGAGACATTCCAAACAGTGTCTTAATCCAACTGCCAGTCAGTTAGCATTTCTCAGTGCACATCCTGAGGAGAAGTACCGTGGTGAAATACACAAGAATCAGAAGATGCAGTTTCCTACCTTGCAATCTAATGGGGGAAGAGGGGGGGAAGGGAGAGGGGAGATATCATAAACACAAAAGCATGGGCATACCTACAAGATGCTGTTAAAAACAAGTCCAAACTAATGTCATATAAATGATGTCATATAAGAACAGAATGTAATTTTTCCGTGTTAAAACAATGTCGCAATCCAGAAAGCCATATAATCTAATACCCAAAATGCTATATACCTACATTCTTCCTATGTACTGGAGTGATGCCAGCCCCATTTTGAAATCAGTGACTTTGAAATATAACTATATAATAATATGTATATTCTTTATTAGAGACCGGAAAGAGAATTTGGAGTGATGGAAATAGTGTTTAGTGATTATTTGGGTCCTCTTTGTCTGTCTCTCTATGTCTCTGTCTCTTTCTCTTTTTCTCCCTCTTGGTAAAGCTGCCTAAGTTCAAAGTATTGAAGTTCCTAATAAAAAATTATATGATGCAATATCAAATTTCACTACTCAAGAGGGAAGAAAACAACACAGCTGCTTAGAAGTATATTCTGGGGTCTATACCAGAAGATCTTTAACAAAACAGCCATAAAATGATTGGGAAGATTGGAAGGGAGTCAAGGAAAAATATCCTGCTTGGATGCAATCATAAATAGTGTTTCTTAGGAAAAGAAAGCCTTTCATACATTTACATAGTAGGACAATATGTCAAGAACAATATGTTTACATTTTCCCCAGCATTATGACTATTTACTTTGATGTGTCCAGCCGTGCAAACTGAGTATTTCACGGAACGTAAAGAACACAGTCTTTGCTTGGTTAGCTACTATGTTTTGGAAATTTGTCTTTAATATGTATCCCAAGCTGGGGTATGCTGAAGAGCAAGATGGTAAGTTTGCCAAAGAATCTTGGACCTTGTATCTTCCTGAGTATTTAGTGGGTTGTTTGGTAGTTCAGGGAGGCACTTGGGTGCACTAACCCTGCTGTCCAGAGTAGAATGCACAAATAAGGAAACAAGGGTTTTGTAGCCTAACATCACATCACTGACACTGGAATAAAAGTGAAATAAATTCAGTCTAGTTGGGGGGTGGGGAAGCTATTTAGATACCTGCTAGAAATTTGCTGTGTTTTGTTTTATAATCCCCCTCCCCCCCATCATGGGGATGTTCATAGACATAGTCCAATGACTTTCCAAGTCCCTTTAGCATTCCCATAGTGTCTGTGGCTTGGACTTCCATATGACTTTGTTTTTGATTTTGGTTTTTTGCTTAGGCAGTCGGGGTTAAGTGACTTGTCCAGGGTCATACAGCTAGTTAAGTGTCAAGTGTCTGAGACCAGATTTGAACTCAGGTCATCTTGACTCCAGGGCTGGTGCTGTATCCATTGCACCACCTAGTTGCCCCTTTCATATGACTTTGAAAATGGCTTTGTTTCCTGCTACAAATAATGACTTTGTGAATGCATATAATAAACTAATTCACTAATGATTATGATGATAAAAATAATAATTCAGTTCAATTCAGCAAACATCTGTTAATGTGTTCTATGTGTCAAGCATTATGCTAGGTTCTAAGAGTGGTACAAAGCTTAAATAAGACATGGTTCCTGCCCTTTTGGAGCCAATAGTTGAATAGGGAGATATGACACAAAGATAAGTATAATATAAAAAGCTTCAATACTTCAAAGATTTATAATTTTATCAGTGTGGGTATTCCCTCCACTGATGTCTGTCACAACTTCTCTTTATATTTGTAGTCTGTTTGAGAGCTGCAGAGAAAAACAAAAACTCACCATATTTAGACAATCTAGTGATGTACTGCTCCAAATTTAGATAGTGGACCATTGGGCAACAGAAATAAAGCTCCTCAATCACCAGGCTCATTTTCTAAGCCCTTTCCACTTTGGTAGGACCTGCTAGAGCTTGTACTCTGCTGGTATTAATGGTCTTTGAGAACCCAGAGTCATTGCCATATCATGATGAGGTTTCAGAGTAGAACTTTAGTGGCTGTAAAATAACACATTTAATGTTTTACAAGGGGAGGTTAGATTCACCAAAATCAGGAAACCTCAGAACCAAGAATGCTAGCATCAGCCACTCTTTCTCTCTGAGGCTGCCTGCAGACTGAGACCTTTGGATTGGTATTCCCGAGCTGGTCCTTATACTGTGCCTGCAGAGCTGACTGTATCAATAGGAGAAGAAACAAGAGAGATAAGTGAAACCTCTTTAGATTAAAGTCATATAGCTCTGGTGAGTTGTATTCTTAAGTAACTTTTCTTATGTGGCTTTGAGTTTCTTTATGTTGTATTGCATTTATACTTGGGAAACTCTTTAGGATGTGCTACAAGCTGCCTGAAGCAGTAGACACAGAGTGTACCAAAGGGCTTGGCTGTGGTCTGTATCATAAGGTTGGTGACAGCTGTGTCCTTGACAGTGCCTTTTAAATTCTTCTCTGTTCTGAGTATTCTTCTGCCAGAAGTTGAGTGACCCTTGCAGCCATGGTGTCTATATGTCCTCTCCAATTCCTCAACCTCAGAGGATCTGATAGAGGTTGTCCAGGGATAACAGAAGCAGACACTACCTTTCTAGATCATTGTGAAATGGTTTGTAATGTCTAGCCCCAAAATATTTGCAGTGGGCCCAATTAGGATACTCTACGTTTTTGGAAAATTTCAGGGGAGGGGGATGGGAACTAGATCAGATAGTTTCTTTTATAGAACAGGGAGATGATGTTTGCTGAGAGATTACCACCGTTTAAATGTCAATTTCCTGATAATATTTGAAACCTTAATAGGAAATGGAGTGCTTCTGCATTCATTAGGTATACAGAGGAAAAGAGATGATTATATGTATACACACATAAACAAATCCTACTAGTTGAGAGCTATTTCAGACTTGTGGAAGGTGCTTTCTATCTTAAATTATCTTGTAGGCACAATTGGCATACTTATGCAACCAAGTGACAATATGGATTATAGAAAAAGTTGGGGAGCTTGAAACCAAGAGAAAGGAAAGCAGCAAAGAAGGCAAGAGAGCTACAAGCCCCAGCAGCTGGTAGTGACAAAATCCCAGAGTTAATAATACTAGGCATGATATAGTTTGGGTTTAGCTATATGCCAGGCACAGTGCTACGTGCTAATGATAGAAATAAGAAAAATAAAGGTAGTCTCTGCTGGAAAATGGGGGAGGGGAGTACCCAGCATGGGGGCATCTTGTTCCATGGAATTCATGCTAAGCAGAGCTGCAGATGGAAAGTGGAAAGTAAGCAGCAAATTCTAGATCCTGCCCTCTATAAAGGTAAACTTTGGGAAGAGTTTAGTGCTCTACCTGCCAGCTCTCCAATCAGAAGGCAGAAGAGGCTGAGGGAGTTGGGGAAGTGTTGAGCATCCAAGGCTGGGTTAAACAGCATGAGGAGGAGATTTTAAGGTATGGAGACCCTGTTCATCTGACCCAAAAGTAAAAGTAGGCCTATAGTCAGAATAGGATAAGGAGGCCTTTAAGAAGGCAGCAGAGAGCTGGATATAGGTCAGCAGAGGTGAGTTGGAGACCTTGATTCCTCAGTGTGAAACCAAACTGGGCTGCCCTGTTAGCTTGCTCAAGGAGGAAGCCACTTTATCCCAACTACTAATGTACTTCTGCTGGATTGGCCGTGTGGAAGTAGATCCATGAAGTACCTCACAACTCCATCATTACAGTAGGACTTTAAAGTGTGTTGGGAGGAGATCTAGATTTCAAGACTTAGACGAGACCTCAAGGTAGGTTAGAGCTGACAATCATCTTTGGAGTTAACAGGTTAGACTGAGCATCTTTGAGTCTGAAGGTGAACCTTCAGGGAGTTAAGACCTTTAAGTTCAGGGCTTCGTCCCAGATGAGAAACCAAGAGAAAAGAAGGTATGGAATATTTAAGCATACCCTACTTAGCTGGATCCTGATGGTACAAAGGAAATAATAGGAATGAGTGGAGTAGCACTTAGCAAAAACCAGCCCTTTGAGAGACTGAAAGAAAGTGCCCATAAGAGATAACTAGGTACTAAAGCTCTGAGTTGTATACAATGTAAGCTTTTCAATTGCTCTAAATAGTGGATGAAGGGGGAAAGTGCCAAAAATGAACAGCTTGCAGGAGACATGTTGTCTAATGTGCTGTATTCCAACAGAGAGGAGGCCCATACCTGTTCAGTGGGGCAGACCAGTTCTCTTTAGGTTCATTCAGGGAAGCTAGCTGAGGCCACATGCCCCCTCCAAGGATTAGGAAGGATCTTCAAAGGGAGGATATTTTGTGATGGTCATTAGAGGGGCAGGACAGTTGAGCCGGGGGAAGAGGAAGGCAGCAGTTATTGCTGATAGTCATAAGGAGGACATTATGAAGCACTCCTATAAAAGAGTAGGGGGAGCCCAGGCCATTGGGCTAGTATTATTAGTCCTCCATCTGTGGATGCAGAGTTGATTGTTTTGACAGTAAGGAGAATAAGAATGATAGGTGAAAGTTCTCTGTGACACAACAGCATAGCTTTGGAAAGTTTGTTGTTCCTCAGTGGCTTGGTCTGTAGGTCTGCATTAATAAGCCACTCTGTTGAACATTTATCCAGCAAAGTTTTGTGCACTAAGTTGTGTGATAAGTTATGGGACTGATGATGGCAGGTCCTTGACGGTTGTGTCCTTGAAAGTTCTTTCTGATCCCTTTACTATTTGTTAATGGATGTCTCTGTCAAAAACAGATAC